ATATATATATACATATATATATATACATATATATATATATATATATATATATATATATATATATATATATATATATATATATATATATATATATATATGCTACAGTATTACCTCGCCTAACGTTTCACTTAACGCCGCTTTATCATATATAATAATGTGTGCCTTGCCAGAGCTGAACTTTCACTTAACACGGATTTTTCCACATATACGCTGTGAGTGTCCGCCTCGAGACGCTTATTTTTAGATTTGCCCCACCTGCCACCCTGCCTGACTGCCTGTTTTAGCTCATAAAATTCATACAAATTACCCGGCCAGAATATAATTTACATTGCTGGAATTCTTATAATTTGGTGATCATTTTGAATATAAATATCATATATTTTGCATTAGACATACAAATTTTAGATAAAAATTTTTCTCAGAGTAACTATGTTATCTTTTGTGCAAAATATATGACATTTATATTCAAAATATTCCTGGTCTTACAAGGAATCCAGCAATGTCAATTATATTATCCTAACTTTAGTTTGAGGTATTATTTATTAAAATTTAGTGGTTATCCCACACATCTCCTTGGGATGGTTGGTGGGGGGTGGGGGGGAGGGAGGGACCGACCGACCATCTGTTACCCCGTGAAGAATATTTTTTTTTTTTATTAACTGAAGATATTTGTTTTAGCCCATAAAATTCATACAAATTACCCGGCCAGAATATAATTTACATTGCTGGAATTCTTATAATTTGGTGATCATTTTGAATATAAACATCATATTTTTGCATTAGACATACAAATTTTAGATAAAAATTTTTCTCAAATTAACTATGTTATCTTTTGTGCAAAATATATGACATTTATATTCAAAATATTCCTGGTCTTACAAGGAATCCAGCAATGTCAATTATATTATCCTAACTTTAGTTTGAGGTATTATTTATTAAAATTTAGTGGTTATCCCACACATCTCCTTGGGACGGTTGGTGGGGGGTGGGGGGGAGGGAGGGACCAACCGACCGACCATCTGTTACCTGGTGAAGAATTATTTTTTTTTAACTGAAGATATTTGTTTTAGCTCATAAAATTCATACAAATTACCCGGTCAGAATATAATTTACATTGCTGGAATTCTTATAATTTGGTGATCATTTTGAATATAAACATCATATATTTTGCATTAAACATACAATTTTTAGATAAAAATTTTTCTCTAGGTAACTATGTTATCTTTTGTGCAAAATATATGACATTTATATTCAAAATATTCCTGGTCTTACAAGGAATCCAGCAATGTCAATTATATTATCCTAACTTTAATCTGAGGTATTATTTAATACTAAATGTTAAAAACCCTGGAAGGGAGGATTGGTGGGGGGTGGGGGGGAGGGTTGGGACTGACCGCGCGGTTGGAAGAGGGGGGGAGGCAAGGTGGGGTACTTTGATTGACAGATAGTGTCGTGAAGATTATTTTTTTTTTATTAACTGAAGATATTTGTTTTAGCTCATAAAATTCATACAAATTACCCGGTCAGAATATAATTTACATTGCTGGAATTCTTATAATTTGGTGATCATTTTGAATATAAACATCATATATTTTGCATTAAACATACAAATTTTAGATAAAAATTTTTCTCTAGGTAACTATGTTATCTTTTGTGCAAAATATATGACATTTATATTCAAAATATTCCTGGTCTTGCAAGGAATCCAGCAATGTCAATTGTATTATCCTAACTTTAGTTTGAGGTATTATTTATTAAAATTTAGTGGTTTTCCCCCCAAAATTTCTCAGAGGGAAGAGCCAGTGAGTGTAGTGTGAGAAGAGGGGGAGGGAGTTGAGTCCATTATTTGAATGGACATTAACTTGGCGACTGTATTTCTCTTAAGTATTAATTGTGTGCACGTACCATCATAAAATTAAGATGTTATTTTTACTAGAACATAGGTATTGTGTCGGAAAAAGTAGAGTTTGGGGGCCCGGCCAGTCTCTATTGGAATTAATCCCATATGTTCTGTTGTTCACTTAACGCGGTTTTCACTTAACACGGTACCCTGTGGGTTCAATTGACCGTGTTAAGCGGGGTACTACTGTACATGTAAAAAGGGTTTATTGGTGCCGCCGCCCCAAGAATTTCACCCATTTGAAGCCCTGCCTCACACTTTTTGTTAGCTGAAATAAAAAGATTTGTTATTCAATCATCAAAATAAAGAATTTGAGTAATATAACACTTACCCGTAGCTTGGGGGAGTTTTTGAGGTGCTTGGGGTGTTTATTGTTCCGTGGCTGGGCATAGAGGCTACTGCGTCGAACCTCCGTCCCCGTGCTGGCCTCTGGCACCCGGTTCACCCACTTCCGCTAACACTTCATCAAACTCCGCAAAGTCAAAATCTTCAGGCATTTCCCCAATGTCATCAATGTCTTCATCAACTTCAATCTCTCTCTGTTGGTCTTCCTCGGCTGGCCAGCGTTGTGAAAGAAAGCGAGTGATGAGTGACTGCTGCCAGGCATTCACTCGCTCGTTGTACTGCGTCTGGTATTTCCTTGAAATAGATTCTATAACTCCAATCACTTGCTTCCTTTCACCTGATTCACTCTCAATGTCTTGGATCATCTCTTGAGTGACAAGTGTGTCGTCACTTTCCTCTGCTCGGTCTCCCCTGCATCACTCGCTGCATCACCACTCTCACCACCTTCTTCATCCTCCAGGAGATCCTCGAAGTCATATGTGTTACCTTCTTGCATCATTTCTTCTAAATCTTCCCAAGTCACTTCTTGAAATCCTGGGGCTGGGATACTGCGGACGGTTTCCAACACTTGGTTCATTAGCTCTGCTGGCTGCTGTCTCTTCGTCTCTTCAGACTTGAGTTGTGGCAGGAGTGCTGACCAGGCATGCCTAACGGTTGCTTTCGTAGTATTTCTCCAGGCTTTTACAAAGAAATTGACTGCCTGGCGAATGTTATAATTTTTCCAGAAGGCAGTAACAGTCACTGTGGAGGTTGAAAGTACGCCAGGAGGAGGAGGAGTGGAGGCGGAGGCTGTGAGTGAGGCAGGCAGAGCAGTGGAGGCGGTGTGTGAGCCAGGCGGAGTAGCGGAAGCGGCGAGGGGTGGACCCTCCTCCTCCTCCTCCTCGCTACTGCTCACAGTTTCAGCAATTTCCTTCACTTCTTCTTGCTTATCAGTTTCCTTCCTCATCTTGTCATGGACATATTTGTAGTACAGCAACTTTACATTTGCTATGATTTCTTGGTCTAGTGGCTGTATTTTGGAAGTTGTATTTGGTGGTAGAAACACAACCTCAACGCTAGGGTGACGTCCTACTAGAAATCGTGTATGACTGGGGGCATTGTCTAGAAAGAGCACCACTTTGAAGGATACATTCTTCTTCCGGCAGTATTCTTTGGCATTCTTAACAAAACAATAATCAAACCACTTCTTTGATAACTCCGTGGACATGTAGCCTTTATTTGTCTTTTCCCAGTAGACATTCAGTTTGGACATATCACATCCCTTGTAAGCTCTTGGTCTTTTATATTTGCACCAGAGGCTTCATAAGGCAGTCACCTGAAGCATTACAGGTTAGGAGGACACTAAAGAGATCCTTTGCCATTTTCACACCTTTTGCCTGTTTTTCTTTCTTAGAGATAAATGTTGCTTTAGGGGATTTTTTCCAAAACAACCCAGTCTCATCACAGTTAAAAATTTGATCCAGGGTATAACCTCCCTCTTGAATGATTTGATTGGCAATTTCAGGGAAGGAATCTGCAGCCACTAAGTCAGCAGACGAAGCCTCACCCTGATACTTTGCATACTTTGTGCCACTTCTAATCTTAAACTTATGCAGCCACCCTACTGAGGCATTGAAAGGAGGGGGAGGCTTAATGTTTTTCTTTCGAGCTACAGCAGCGTACAATACCCTTGCTTGATCTCGTATCTGAGGGCCGCTTGCATTGTCTTTCATTCTACAAGCAAACCATTTCACAAGAAAATGCTCTGTTATCACTATCAACCTGTTTCTATCACTTTTATCATTCATAGCTCGCCTTGCATTTCCATCACTACCGAAATATTTCTTAGCCAGCGCAATACTCTTCTTGGTCTCCTCTAAGTTCCTCTTAATATTTCGCACTGTAGACTCAGGACAGTTCAATTTCTTCACAATATCAATGTTCCGTCCACCACTTTCAATGAGCTTAACAATCTGTTCTTTATCCGTGATCGAGTAGGCATGCTTCTTGTGACTTTGTCTCTTAGCTTTGGGGTCTTTTTTCTCATTCACTTTAAAAGTTCCCGGGCATTCAGGCGGTAAATCACTCCCTCCACCACCTCCCCCAGCCCCCACAGGCAAAAACACGGAAGCCATTGTTGATCACCGAACCTCACAACCACTGGTTATAGAGGCAAAAATCTCACACGTGGGCGCAGCGCTGTATTCCACAGAGCGTGTGTGAGAATGAGTGAGGCAGAGCGGACAACTACGTCATCAACATGGAGGCCAAACAAACGCTATCATTGATGCGCTCGGACGCTTCCCACAAAATCTAATCTCCGTTATTCAAGAGAACCCAGACGTTATTATTGAAAATGGGTGTCTATTGTAACTTACCGTTAATGTTGAAATTATTGTGGAAGTCGTTATTGGCGAGATCCTACTGTACCTAAGTAACATTGCTGAGCGTCGTATTCCGAGCTACATCACAAAAACTGTTTTTTAGAAAAAAATGGCTTTTTTATCTGTATTTTGTGTGTGTAGCCACACATACACACTCTTAAGTTTTCCTATTTTATAGCAATATACCATCTTCATGGATATTATTTTTCTTATACTCCTTGCAAATAAGCAGAATATGCTTTGCTTATATTATATATGGGTGTTAAAATATCAACTATGAATACTGTAAGCAGGATTGCGAACAACTGGGGTTGGGAATACCGAGCCATTCCTGTATTGAAACATAAAGAAAGCCAATTTAAAGATATAATACATATACAAGCATTTCTCACCAGCTGGATCCATAAATGAAGCCATTTTATCCCATTCTCTCTCCAGCTTCTTCTCTATAGCACTGGCTAACTTCTCTGTCTGTTGGTCAGAAGCCTTCATCTCAGCACGTGCCAACAATTGCTCAGGAGTGATGCCAAAGATAGTGCGCTGAAACACAAGAATAAGAAATCTGTACTATATCGTATACTGTACTATCTACCTTGTGTACTATACTATCAATCTAGTGTATTGTATTATCTATCTTGTGAACTATATTATATATCTTGTGTACTGTATTTTATTGTGTACTGTATTATATATATTGTCTACTGTATTATATATCTCGTGTACTGTATTATATATCTTGTATACAGCAAAAGTCCAAAAATCCGGATGCCAAAAATCCGGACCACCCGAGAATCCGGACTTTTGGAAAACTAATTATTTTTTTTTTTTTAGCGGGCTTTTGTGTGTATGTGCGCATGCGTGAGCGCCACAGCTGCACAGCGACAACAAGCGACCACGTGGTCTCCACTTTAATCGAGCAATCAAACTGTGACAACATACCGTATATACTCGTCTATAAACCCCCCTCGTTTATCTGTCGACCCTGATTTTTTGACCAAGAAATCGTTAATTTATGATATTCCTCGTTTATAGTTCGACCCACGTTTTTGAGGGTAAGCGAACAACAAAACCTTCAGTAAAAACGCTCTACGTCCTATAAACTGAAACACGAGTGCCGAAGGCAAATTGTTTACCATTTATTATTACAACACTTTACACTAAAACGCGGGTAGTTTCAACAAAAATATTGTATATTTCCATTCAATTATTTATTCAAGTCAATTAGGAGGGAATATTATTGTAATACAACAGTTTTTTAACTAAACCATTCGAAAAGTGATTACGGTAACATCTTTTGAACGAAAGAAAGCGAAAGTCATTGTTTTCGTCACGATTTTATCCCACTTTCCACTGTAATACGTACGTCATTTTAGCAAAAATATTACATTCCGTGAATGCATTATATCAAGCACAGTATGAATAGAACAATATTTTGAGTCTTACTCTTTCCATTTACAGATTACTGTACAAGCCCATAATAATGGCTCCTAAAGTAGATAAACTTCGTTGTGTGAAGAGAAAGAAGAACACGTTGAAATTGAGTGACAAACTTGAAATAATTAAGAAACTAGTACGTGGTGTGAGCAATACTGTTCTAATGGAAAATACAACATTGGAAAGTCTACAATTTATGATATCAAAAAGGCAAAGAATAAAATTCTAGAAGTCACAGCTTTTTCATTAAAACTGCTCGTTTTGATAAATGAAGCATGCTATATTTGCTAATGAATAAACTATCAAAATGTACCTGTTCATCTCTTCTTTATTCCTCCTTAAATTTTAATTTTAAAAGTACTGCCTGAGAATCCGGAAAATCCGAAAATCCGGACCGACCCAATCACCAAGCAGTCCGGATTTTTGGACTTTTACTGATACTATATTTTATTGTGTATGTATTATGTATATTGTGTACTGTATTATATATCTTGTGTACTGTATTATATATCTTGTGTACTGTATTATATATCTTGTGTACTGTATTATATATCTTGTGTACTGTATTATATATCTTGTGTACTGTATTATATATCTTGTGTACTGTATTATATATCTTGTGTACTGTATTATATATCTTGTGTATTGTATTATATATCTTGTGTACTGTATTATATATCTTGTGTACTGTATTATATATCTTGTGTACTGTATTATATATCTTGTGTATTGTATTATATATCTTGTGTACTGTATTATATATCTTGTGTACTGTACTGTATTATATATCTTGTGTACTGTATTATATATCTTGTGTACTGTATTATATATCTTGTGTACTGTATTATATATCTTGTGCAGTATATACATCTTGTGTATTATATACTGTATTATATATCTTGTACTGTATTATATATCTGTGGTGCATTATATATCTTGTGCAATTGCAATATATATCTTAGTAATTGCATTATATATCTTGTGTACTGTATTATATATTCAGGTACTGTATTATATATCTTGTGTACTGTATTATATATCTTGTGTACTGTATTATATATCTTGTGTACTGTATTATATATCTTGTGTACTGTATTATATGTCTTGTGTACTGTATTATATATCTTGTGTACTGTATTATATATCTTGTGTACTGTATTATATATCTTGTGTACTGTATTATATATCTTGTGTACTGTATTATATGTCTTGTGTACTGTATTACATATCTTGTGTACTGTATTATATATCTTGTGTACTGTATTATATATCTTGTGTACTGTATTATATATCTTGTGTACTGTATTATATATCTTGTGTACTGTATTATATGTCTTGTGTACTGTATTATATATCTTGTGTACTGTATTATATATCTTGTGTACTGTATTATATATCTTGTGCACTGTATTATATATCTTGTGTATTGTATTATATATCTTGTGTCGTATTGTAATATATATCTTGTGTAGTATTGTATTATATATCTTGTGTACTGTATTATATATCTTGTGTACTGTATTACATATCTTGTGTACTGTATTACATATCTTGTGTACTTTATTACATATCTTGTGTACTGTATTATATATCTTGTGTACTGTATTACATATCTTGTGTAGTATTGTATTATATATCTTGTGTAGTATATATTGTACTTTCCATATTATATATCTTGTGCTGTGTTATATATCTTGTTAGCTTTTGCTTATTAAATATCATGTGCTGTATTATATATCTTGTGTGCTGTATTATATGTCTTGTGTGCTGTATATATATGTGTGTGTATATCTTATTTTCATTACTATATCTTTGTGTACTGTATTATATATCTTGTGTACTGTATTATATATCTTGTGTACTGTATATATCTTGTGCTGTAATATATATGTACTGTATTATATATCTTGTGCTGTATTATATATATTGTGCTGTAATTATATATCTTGTGTGCTTTCCATGTTATATATCTTGTGTGTATTATATATCTTGTGTGTGCTGTATTATATATATCTTGTGCTGTAATTTACTTATATCTTGTGTGCTGTATTATATATTGTACTGTATTATATATGTGTATTATATATCTGTGTACTGTATTACTTCCATATCTTGTGTGTATTTATATATGTGTACTGTATTACATGTCTTGTGTGCTGTATTATATGTCTTGTGCTGTATTATATGTGTGTGTGTGTATATCTTGTGCTGTATATATCTTGTGTACTGTATTATATATCTTACATGTGCACTGTATTATATATCTTGTGTACTGTATTATATATATCTTGTGTGCTGTATTATATATATGTGTGTTGTATTATACTATCTTGTGCTGTATTGCATATCTTGTGTATAATTATATATCTTGTGTGCTGTATTATATAGCATCTTGTGTTTTCCATGTTATATATCTTGTGTGCTGGTATATATATCTTGTGCTGTGTGCATATCATGGTGCTGTGCATCTTGTGTGCTGTGTATATCTTGTGCTGTATTTATATATATTGTGTTCATATCTTGTGTGCTGTATTATATATCTTGTGTGCTGTATATATCTTGTGTGCTGTATTACATATCTTGTGTGCTGTATATATCTTGTGTGCTGTGTATGTCTTGTGTGCTGTATTACCATATATCTTGTGTGCTGTGTTATATATCTTTGTGCTGTATTACATATCTTGTGTACTGTGTTATATATCTTGTGTACTGTATATATATCTTGTGTGCTGTATTATATATACTTGTGTGCTGTGTATATATCTTGTGTGCTGTATTATATATCTTGTTATTGCTTTGTATTACATATCTTGTGTGCTGTATTATATATCGTGCTGTGTTATATATCTTGTGGCACTTAGCCATATGTTGTGCTGTATTATATATCTTGTGTACTGTTATATATATCTTGTGTACTGTATATATCTACAGTGTGCTGTGTTATATATCTTGTGTGCATGTTATATATCTTGTGTATTGTATTACATATCTTGTGTACTGTATTACTTATCTTGTGTACTGTATGCATATCTTGTGTACTGTATTACATATCTTGTGTGCTGTGTACATATCTTGTATACTGTATTATATATCTTGTGTACTGTAGTATATATCTTGTGTGTGCTGTATTATATATATTTGTGTGCTGTATTATATATCTTGTGTGCTGTGTTATATATCTTGTGTTATGTGCATATCTTGTGCTGTATTATATATCTTGTGTGTATTATATATCTTGTGTGCTGTATTATATATGTGTGCTGTATTTATATATCTTGATGGTACTGTGTTATATATCTTGTGCTGTATTACATATCTTGTGTACTGTATTATATATCTTGTGTGCTGGATTATATATCTTGTGTGCTGTGTTATATATATCTTGTGTACTGTATATATCTTGTGTGCTGTATTATATATCTTGTGTGCTGTATTACATATCTTGTGTACTTGTATTACATATCTGTGTACTGTGTTACATATCTTTGTGTACTGTATTATATATCTTTAGTGTGCTATTTACATATCTTGTGTGCTGTGTGCATATCTTGTGTGCTGTGTTACATATCTTGTGTGCTGTAGTATATATCTTGTGTGCTGTGTGTATATATCTTGTACTGTGTGTTATATATCTTGTGTGCTGTGTTACTATATCTTGTGTACTTGTGTTATATATCTTGTGTACTGTATTATATGTCTTGTGTGCTGTATTACATATCTTGTGTACTGTGTTATATATCTTGTGTGCTGTATTACATATCTGTTGTGCTGTATTGCATATCTTGTGTGCTGTGTTACCATATCTTGTGTACTGTATTATATATCTTGTGTGCTGTTCATATATCTTGTGTACTCGTAGTATATATCTTGTGTGCTGTATTATATATCTTGGCCTGTATTATATATCTTGTGTACTGTATTATATATATCTTGTGTGCTGTATTATATATCTGTGTACTGTATTACATATATATGCTGTATTATATATCTTGTGTATATGTATTTATATATCTGTATTTTGTATATATATCTTGTACTGTATATATATCTTGTGTAGTATTGTATTATATATCTTGTGTACTGTATATATCTTGTATGCTGTTATA